GAGAGTCAAGATGTAAATTCAGGATGCCTGGCCTTCTAGCTCGGTTCATTCAATCATGATACTACTGAGTTTTGTGATGGATTATTCCATTATATTTTATAGTAGTCTTACATATTTTTTTTGCAGTTGAACTACTAAAATGCTTAACTAATTTGAACTCACAGTAATTCACAATAAGAATGACACAAGTATTATTATTCACTTCTGGTCTATATAACTTGGAGTGGGTTTGGTTCAATAATAAAGATTACAATGAACCAGAAAAAGATTAGAAAATTTATTTCTCCCTAGTTCTGAGACCCCCTGAATTCAATCTTTATTCTTGATGTCAATGTAAATGTGTGGATTCACTACTAACAAATTAAAACCACTTTTAAAAAGCAATCATATATTTTGGATTTGATTACTCAGGAACACAATATTAAAGTGCCTCCATCCTGACTATATATATTGAATTTCCTTGATGTAACTTCTGTCATCTAATTTTTAAATTACATAAATCTTTCAGTCTTATTTAAATTAAAAACTTGAATAAACCACATAGAAATACCCTTGATATCAGTAAGAGATGGAGCAGTTATTTCTGCGTTATGTTGCAAAAAATAAAGAAATTGGATATAAACATGAATGACTGTACTCTAATAGTATTTATATCCTGGGGCTAAGTTTGTTTTCCTCCCTTTAAAAATAAAATTCCAGCCCAGCCGGGCATGGCTCAGTAGTTGAGCGTCGACCTAGGATCCAGGAGATCGGTGTTCGATTCCTGGTCAGGGCACATGCCCGGGTTGCGGGCTGCAGCCGATCAATGACTCTCTCTCTCTCTCCCTCTCCTTTCCTCTCTCTGAAATAAATAAAGATATATTTTTAAAAAATAAAAATAAAAATAAAATTCCAGGGAAGTCTTGTCCTGAAAGTATTTGTATAATTACCTATTTAATTTTTGCAGCTGACATTTCAGATGCTTATATTTCACTTCAAATCCAAGAATCAGTGACATCATTCATTCATCTAGAAGCTCTTTGTGTTAGTAGTTACTTGGTGCCAAGCCCTAGATACGTACTGGATTAAGACAGCAGAGCTTCTGCTCTTTGTGGAATCACCTCTACCGAGATAGACACCATCACAGGGTGTTATAAATATATAAGTACCATTACACAGGAGCTAGGGAAGGCTATATTCCATAAGGTGAGGGGAAGGCTGGTTCTGAGGACTTAAAATGAGACCTGAAGGAAGAGGTCAGTTACTAGAAGATCCATAGGAAAAGTTTTCAAGTGGTGGTCATGGCTCTGAGGTGAGAATTAAGTATTGTGAAAGGGCTAAAAAAAAGAAATGGGAATTTAGAGAGAGCAAGCAATAGCCATTAGAAATGCTGAACCACTAAGGTGGAAACATTTGGAAATGTGGAGATTTGCTAAAGCCTACTCTTTTATTTTAATGACGAGGAAGCTGAGGCCAAGTGAGATTGATGTGTTTTGGTGATATAAAGTTAAATTGTAATCTGGGTCTCACATTTCCCCGTCTGTAGTCTTTTCAATTAAACACAATTACTTGTATTGTGCTTGACAACGCTGGATGTATTACACAGTATTGGTTTTTACAACTGAGAGTTTAAACTTTTATCTGCAAATAGCTGACAAACATTTATTAGGCTTTCTTTATAATCAGCATCAATCATTGTGATTTGTATCCCGTATTAAGGAAATCTCAAGGAGTTCTTTAACCCTTCAGTCATCTATTGACTTTAGTCTCTAGCTTGGAAATCACTAGGCCTTTAGTGGTGCAGTGAAAAGGAATTCCTAAGTTTATGTTTAATTTCCATGTAGTCAATTTGGAGCCAGATATTGTTCATCTTGTTTAAACACGGGGATTTTTTTTTATTGCTTCTCATCATTTCCAATTATAGACCTATTGACTAGCTACACATCTCAGCTGTAATTTGTGCACTTTTCTTTTTGATAAATGGCAAAGACTGAGCTTTCAGGGCAGTAATTTATATAACCTGCAGATATACTTTATATTTAGCTACTTTTCTACTTCTAATATTTTTATTACTTTGTGGAGAAATGAATTGGGGCTAATATTGTTTACAGCTCTTTCTGACAAATTGTTAGCCTTTTAATCCATATATAGGACTCTCCTGTGAACTTAGCTCTGTATCTTAATAAAATACTTTATTCAGTGATGATTATACAGGCCAATTATCATTGCCCCAAAGTCATAGCCAGTGGGAATGGTAACTTGACAGATCAGAGTGTACAAGGATGTGCTCCAGAAATCTAAAAAACTGTAGTTTAAAAAGCTTATATTGCTTTTGGAGGAGTGAAATATATGTGGATGATATATATATATATAAGTATAATTGTAAGGCATTTAAAGTGTATGGTATAATTCTATACTTGTATACATTGTGAAAGGATTCCCCCATTGAGTTAATTAACACATTCATTACATCACTTATTTATCTTTTTTTGTGTGTGAGAACATTTAAGTTCCATTCTTTTAGCAAATTTCGATTACACGATACAGTGCTATCAACTGTAGTCACCATTTTACACATTAGATCCTCAGACCTTATTCATCTAATAGCTGAAAGTTTTTGCCCTTCTACTCACCTCTCCCTATTCTTACTACTCCTAAGCCCCTGGCAACTTCTCTTCTACTCATTGTTTCTATAAGTTCAATTTTTTGAAAAAGATTACTCATGTAACTGATACCACCAAGTATTTGTCTTTCTCTGTCTGGCTTATTTCACTTTGCACAGTGCCCTCCAATTTCATTCATGTTTTTACAAATGATAGGATTTTCTTCTTTTTTAAGGCTGAATAATATTCCATTATATAAATATGTAACGTTTACCTTAACAACTTTGCAGACTGAAATAATTCAGCATGCACCATTATGTAATACTTTGGGAACTTGATCTTCCATTTGCCCACGCATGGACTGGTGCAAACAACTATTTTTTTTTTCATATTTTAAAGATTGATTTATGCACTTAACAAAAGTGTACAATTCATAAGAGTTTAGTCTGATATATGTTCACAAAGTGAATGTACTCATGTAACCAGCACCTAGTTAAGAAATAGAAAGTCACCAACACCCCAGTCTGCCTCTTAATATCAACAGTTTTGCTTGTTTTTACATCTTTAAATAATGGAACCATATTTTTGTGTTTGTGAAATTCATTCATGTTATTGTGTATATATAGTTTACTTACAAATCTTTATAGCATTCCATTGGACAAATATACAATTTATTAGTACGTTCTACAGTTGATGGACATTTAGATTGTTTCCAGCTTTAGGATCTTACAAAAAATTCCACTAAAAGCATCCTTATATATGTGTTTTGGTGAATATTTTGTATATTTTTGTTTATTATATACTTCGGAGTAGAATCACTACATTAGAGGCCTGATTATGTTCAACTTTAGTAGATCATGACAGGTAGTTTTCCAAAGTGGTTATAAAAATTACAGATTCATCACTGTGTAGAAAGAGAGAATTCTAGTTACTCCATTTCCTTGTCAACACTTGATATTGTCTTTTTTAAAAATTATAGCTCTTCTGGTGTACACCAATTACTTTTCAAGGAAGATATTGTCCTAGCTATTGGCATGCCCTCAGTAAACCTCTATACTGGGATTGAGAGGTCTTCTCAGTCTTCTTCCCTTTCATGAGAGCATTGCACCAACGTGACTGATTATTAAAACACAAGTTTCTATATTTAGCAAGGAATTCAGAATATCTGTGTTCCTGGTAAATGCTGCTCAGCACTTACCAATAATTTTGCTGAGTGAAAGAGTAGGTATGAAGAGCTTCAGTAAATATTTTGAATGCAAGTGCAGAAAACCAGATTCAAACTAGTTTAAAGCAAAAATTAGGTAATTAATTGACTCTTGTAGCGGGCAAGACACACTCAGCTGGTTCCAGGGGTTAGGCTTCCTTTTTTAAAATTTTTTTATCAAGACTCTTTTCCCACTGAACAGCCTGTCTTCTCAGGCAGCTTATCTCTTTCCCTGGGGGAAAAGAATTTTCTGGTAGCTCCAAACTCTCAGCAGTTGAACAGAAACAAAAACAAAGCAGCAACAATAACAAATATCTTCCTGTACAAGTCTTGGAATTCAGTCTTCTTGGCTGACTGTCTTCCTTGGCTCAGGGTTGGCACAGGTCCCTCTGAACCACATGCTCTGATTGGAGCAATGATTCCTCAATGAATATTGATTGGGGTGCCATTACCAGAAGAGAGGACAGTGATTAGCGGCAAGCAAAAGCAACAAAATATCCTCTACAAGTCAGGTGACTTAAAAAAGGGCAAGTGGTCTATTTCTCTAGAAGCTATAGGACTTTTCTTGGATTAAGCAAAACTGCTGGAAAATTGTATCATAGACTGTATCATTTTAGGCCTGTAGAATTGCCTTTGCTGAAATGTGCTAAGACATTTTGTTATCAGCCTGCACTGAGAGACACTATAATGAATGGCCATGCAGAATTTTGTGTATTATTGTTGGATAGTACTGAAGACACTGTTTAGTCTATTTCAGTGTCCATGTTATAGGATTTCATGGGAGAAAATTCTTCCTAGTCTTTGTATCAAGAAGAGTTGAACTGTTTCTAAATACCTTTTGTGATTTCATCTTATAAGTGCTGCAATTTCTGAAGCTGATAATGTTTCCTCTTTGCATTGCTAGAATGATTGAGTCAATTTTATGGCTTGTTTTAGTCAAAGATACTATACCTCAGTGCATAGTTTTTTTGTGCTAACCTCACTCTTTTATTTTTATCTTATATTTCTTATAAATTATGATTTCACAATTCTTTTTTTAAAAATTTTGATATATGTCCTTTGTAAATTTCCTGAAGTCTTTTCTGAAACAAAGTTGAGAAATCAGTAGAATTTGTGAAAATTTTATTCCATGCATTGAAACTATCCCCACAAAATAAGTAAGTCTGCTTGGCTTCGGCAAAAATATTATTAATGGGACTTATTTTGGGTTCCAGTTTTAGTTGAAGGGGTTGTGAAACACTACAAAATCAGACGACTGGATGAAGGAGAATTTTGCCTCACTCGGAGAAGAACCTTTATAACACTGAGTGAATTCGTGAGCCACTACACCAAGATAAGTGACGGCCTGTGTGTCAAGCTGGGAAAACCTTGCTTAAAGGTGAAGTGCTTTGAAGTTAACTTTTTCCCTTTAGATATTGAATAATTTTCATGGGATATGTTGGTTCAGGAAAGAAAAAAGGTCATTTGATTACCTAAGGCATGAATAGGCAGACTATGGCCCATGTGCCAATACTGTCTCACACTTACTTTTGTTAGTAAGTTTTATGGGAACATAGGCATGCTCAATTATTTACAAATTCCCTTTGCTTTTTTACTGTAAGAGCAGAGTTTAGTGGTTGCAATAGAGACTGTTTGACTCAAAAAGCTTAAAATATTTACTGTCTTATTCTTTTCAGAAAATGTTTGCTAACCCTTGACCTAAGGCAATCACTGAAGACAGAAAATATTCATCTTTTGCACTAAGAAATTAATGTGGTATCCTGCCATTGGAGCACTTAATTATATGGCTGGAGGGGAAAAAAGTGCCAGGATATAATTCCTGTATTCAAGAATGTTAATTCTATATTCAAGAATATTAATATGAAATTACTAGGTTCATTAACTGGTTGAGTTGTCTGTATATAGATATCATTTAACTGACTGTTCTAACAGTTTGATTATTTGACCTGTTTGGTGGGAGGAGATGACATTTATAGACTGTGTCTACATCCATCATTATTTAGTTGTTTGCATGTTTTACTTAAATGTATTTAAAGTTACATAGTGGTCATATACTGTAGGAGGCATGCCCTCAATTCCTCCTCAGAGTCCAGGTCTCACACACTGTTAGTGGGATAGCCAGCACTGTGGTTTATACATGGATGATTGATGAAAGCTTCATGGTGACGCTTGATCAGAATTTTATGGACCAGTAGAAGCTGAATAATTTTCTACAGTATGTATAGAATATAGTGAGTGAAACTCTGCCAAGTTAATGTGCAATTTTTGTGTAAGTATGTACATCTTAGATAGTACAGGAATGGCCCCACAGTAGTACCTAAGCTCATGCTAACAGATATCTTACAAAGATATAGCTTATGCAAAACTTACATACAAAGATATAGCTTACAAAATACTCAGTTTAACTAATATTGTTAAATCCAATGAGGAAAAAGGTTTATGAAGAAGCTTGGGATGGTAGATGGTAAACTAGACTATGAACTCTAAGAGAGCAGTGGCCTTGCCTTTTTGGTTACAGAATGGAGCCTCGTTGGTGATTGAAAATATTTATTAAATGGATGAGTAAATGAATGAATGAGCAGATAAATGAATTTCAAAAAGATGAAATTTGTAATTATGCAAAAGTATATATCTATAGTAAGTGCTATAGGCCAGAGAGTTTGGGTGGAAACTTCAACTTGGCCTTATAATTGGGAGAATTTAGTTAGGCAAAGAGGCAGAGAGACATCATTCCAGACCTATGCGAGGGAGGGATTGTTTGTGGGGGGACAGATGGACAGCAGGTGCCTGAGTTAGCAGGATATGGGGGGAAAATCAGCTTGAAGAAGGAATTATACAGATTCTGCCACAACTGCTTATCATTTTAAAGTGATTAGAATAAAATTTACAATATTTTGTTTTTTAAAATAGTCTCTTTTAAAAAGTATGTAGACTATTATTTTCATTCAAAAAATTATTTTTTTTCTTACAAGTATTCTTATTTTTCTGTGACATAGGTACAAGTCCCAGCTCCTTTTGATTTGTCATATAAAACTGTGGACCAGTGGGAGATAGACCGCAACTCTGTCCAGCTCCTGAAGCGATTAGGATCCGGCCAGTTTGGCGAAGTGTGGGAAGGCCTATGGAACAATACCACGCCAGTCGCAGTAAAAACGTTAAAACCAGGTACGAAAAATGAGAATGTCAAAGGTTCAATGGCGTATGNAGAAATAGAAAGTCACCAACACCCCAGTCTGCCTCTTAATATCAACAGTTTTGCTTGTTTTTACATCTTTAAATAATGGAACCATATTTTTGTGTTTGTGAAATTCATTCATGTTATTGTGTATATATAGTTTACTTACAAATCTTTATAGCATTCCATTGGACAAATATACAATTTATTAGTACGTTCTACAGTTGATGGACATTTAGATTGTTTCCAGCTTTAGGATCTTACAAAAAATTCCACTAAAAGCATCCTTATATATGTGTTTTGGTGAATATTTTGTATATTTTTGTTTATTATATACTTCGGAGTAGAATCACTACATTAGAGGCCTGATTATGTTCAACTTTAGTAGATCATGACAGGTAGTTTTCCAAAGTGGTTATAAAAATTACAGATTCATCACTGTGTAGAAAGAGAGAATTCTAGTTACTCCATTTCCTTGTCAACACTTGATATTGTCTTTTTTAAAAATTATAGCTCTTCTGGTGTACACCAATTACTTTTCAAGGAAGATATTGTCCTAGCTATTGGCATGCCCTCAGTAAACCTCTATACTGGGATTGAGAGGTCTTCTCAGTCTTCTTCCCTTTCATGAGAGCATTGCACCAACGTGACTGATTATTAAAACACAAGTTTCTATATTTAGCAAGGAATTCAGAATATCTGTGTTCCTGGTAAATGCTGCTCAGCACTTACCAATAATTTTGCTGAGTGAAAGAGTAGGTATGAAGAGCTTCAGTAAATATTTTGAATGCAAGTGCAGAAAACCAGATTCAAACTAGTTTAAAGCAAAAATTAGGTAATTAATTGACTCTTGTAGCGGGCAAGACACACTCAGCTGGTTCCAGGGGTTAGGCTTCCTTTTTTAAAATTTTTTTATCAAGACTCTTTTCCCACTGAACAGCCTGTCTTCTCAGGCAGCTTATCTCTTTCCCTGGGGGAAAAGAATTTTCTGGTAGCTCCAAACTCTCAGCAGTTGAACAGAAACAAAAACAAAGCAGCAACAATAACAAATATCTTCCTGTACAAGTCTTGGAATTCAGCCTTCTTGGCTGACTGTCTTCCTTGGCTCAGGGTTGGCACAGGTCCCTCTGAACCACATGCTCTGATTGGAGCAATGATTCCTCAATGAATATTGATTGGGGTGCCATTACCAGAAGAGAGGACAGTGATTAGCGGCAAGCAAAAGCAACAAAATATCCTCTACAAGTCAGGTGACTTAAAAAAGGGCAAGTGGTCTATTTCTCTAGAAGCTATAGGACTTTTCTTGGATTAAGCAAAACTGCTGGAAAATTGTATCATAGACTGTGTCATTTTAGGCCTGTAGAATTGCCTTTGCTGAAATGTGCTAAGACATTTTGTTATCAGCCTGCACTGAGAGACACTATAATGAATGGCCATGCAGAATTTTGTGTATTATTGTTGGATAGTACTGAAGACACTGTTTAGTCTATTTCAGTGTCCATGTTATAGGATTTCATGGGAGAAAATTCTTCCTAGTCTTTGTATCAAGAAGAGTTGAACTGTTTCTAAATACCTTTTGTGATTTCATCTTATAAGTGCTGCAATTTCTGAAGCTGATAATGTTTCCTCTTTGCATTGCTAGAATGATTGAGTCAATTTTATGGCTTGTTTTAGTCAAAGATACTATACCTCAGTGCATAGTTTTTTTGTGCTAACCTCACTCTTTTATTTTTATCTTATATTTCTTATAAATTATGATTTCACAATTCTTTTTTTAAAAATTTTGATATATGTCCTTTGTAAATTTCCTGAAGTCTTTTCTGAAACAAAGTTGAGAAATCAGTAGAATTTGTGAAAATTTTATTCCATGCATTGAAACTATCCCCATAAAATAAGTAAGTCTGCTTGGCTTCGGCAAAAATATTATTAATGGGACTTATTTTGGGTTCCAGTTTTAGTTGAAGGGGTTGTGAAACACTACAAAATCAGACGACTGGATGAAGGAGAATTTTGCCTCACTCGGAGAAGAACCTTTATAACACTGAGTGAATTCGTGAGCCACTACACCAAGATAAGTGACGGCCTGTGTGTCAAGCTGGGAAAACCTTGCTTAAAGGTGAAGTGCTTTGAAGTTAACTTTTTCCCTTTAGATATTGAATAATTTTCATGGGATATGTTGGTTCAGGAAAGAAAAAAGGTCATTTGATTACCTAAGGCATGAATAGGCAGACTATGGCCCATGTGCCAATACTGTCTCACACTTACTTTTGTTAGTAAGTTTTATGGGAACATAGGCATGCTCAATTATTTACAAATTCCCTTTGCTTTTTTACTGTAAGAGCAGAGTTTAGTGGTTGCAATAGAGACTGTTTGACTCAAAAAGCTTAAAATATTTACTGTCTTATTCTTTTCAGAAAATGTTTGCTAACCCTTGACCTAAGGCAATCACTGAAGACAGAAAATATTCATCTTTTGCACTAAGAAATTAATGTGGTATCCTGCCATTGGAGCACTTAATTATATGGCTGGAGGGGAAAAAAGTGCCAGGATATAATTCCTGTATTCAAGAATGTTAATTCTATATTCAAGAATATTAATATGAAATTACTAGGTTCATTAACTGGTTGAGTTGTCTGTATATAGATATCATTTAACTGACTGTTCTAACAGTTTGATTATTTGACCTGTTTGGTGGGAGGAGATGACATTTATAGACTGTGTCTACATCCATCATTATTTAGTTGTTTGCATGTTTTACTTAAATGTATTTAAAGTTACATAGTGGTCATATACTGTAGGAGGCATGCCCTCAATTCCTCCTCAGAGTCCAGGTCTCACACACTGTTAGTGGGATAGCCAGCACTGTGGTTTATACATGGATGATTGATGAAAGCTTCATGGTGACGCTTGATCAGAATTTTATGGACTAGTAGAAGCTGAATAATTTTCTACAGTATGTATAGAATATAGTGAGTGAAACTCTGCCAAGTTAATGTGCAATTTTTGTGTAAGTATGTACATCTTAGATAGTACAGGAATGGCCCCACAGTAGTACCTAAGCTCATGCTAACAGATATCTTACAAAGATATAGCTTATGCAAAACTTACATACAAAGATATAGCTTACAAAATACTCAGTTTAACTAATATTGTTAAATCCAATGAGGAAAAAGGTTTATGAAGAAGCTTGGGATGGTAGATGGTAAACTAGACTATGAACTCTAAGAGAGCAGTGGCCTTGCCTTTTTGGTTACAGAATGGAGCCTCGTTGGTGATTGAAAATATTTATTAAATGGATGAGTAAATGAATGAATGAGCAGATAAATGAATTTCAAAAAGATGAAATTTGTAATTATGCAAAAGTATATATCTATAGTAAGTGCTATAGGCCAGAGAGTTTGGGTGGAAACTTCAACTTGGCCTTATAATTGGGAGAATTTAGTTAGGCAAAGAGGCAGAGAGACATCATTCCAGACCTATGCGAGGGAGGGATTGTTTGTGGGGGGACAGATGGACAGCAGGTGCCTGAGTTAGCAGGATATGGGGGGAAAATCAGCTTGAAGAAGGAATTATACAGATTCTGCCACAACTGCTTATCATTTTAAAGTGATTAGAATAAAATTTACAATATTTTGTTTTTTAAAATAGTCTCTTTTAAAAAGTATGTAGACTATTATTTTCATTCAAAAAATTATTTTTTTTCTTACAAGTATTCTTATTTTTCTGTGACATAGGTACAAGTCCCAGCTCCTTTTGATTTGTCATATAAAACTGTGGACCAGTGGGAGATAGACCGCAACTCTGTCCAGCTCCTGAAGCGATTAGGATCCGGCCAGTTTGGCGAAGTGTGGGAAGGCCTATGGAACAATACCACGCCAGTCGCAGTAAAAACATTAAAACCAGGTACGAAAAATGAGAATGTCAAAGGTTCAATGGCGTATGTTGATTTTTATAAGTTCAGCTTGCCCCTGTACATGTCCAAGAGGTCACAAGACACCACTGCAGGCACCAAGCAAGTGTTGTAATCACTCTACTCTCTCTGGCCCCGGTGACTGTAACCCGTGGCCAAGACTTTGGACTGTAAGAGCAAGAGCATGCTCTCTGGATCAGCTAAGTCTTAATATATCCTCAGTATAAGATTCAGTAAGGCATCTTTTTTCTAGGGTTGGGATCCAACCTGCCAGTGTCCCTCTTTCCCTTTTCTCCTAGATTTAGTTAAAAAATACTCACTTACTGAAAATACTTAAAAAAATCAGCGGAACCTTGGAGTTATTTCAGGGAATTACTATTTTATTACATACCAATTGTGTATGGTCAAAAGGCAAAATGGTCCATCTAAAAGACCTCATATTTGAAAATGTAGGAACAATTTTTTCTTCCATCTTCCTTTTCCCTGTAGTGAAAATTAAAAGTATACTAACATCAGTATTTATTCAGCCAGACATTATTTCCTCCACTTTAAAGATGAGAGAGGAGAATTTAGAGCAATTAAGTAACTTTCCTAAGATTGACTAGTCTTATAATCTTGAGTAAAATTTTAAACTACTGCATGCCTCAGTTTTATCATTTGCAAAATAGAGTTAATAGAATTAAGGCCAACCTAGAAGGGTTGCTATGAAGATTGAATTAGGTCATTAGTGGAAATGCTTTACATAATGGCTGGTTCATAGTACATGACCAATCAAAACTATACAAAATTATTACAAAATGAGTAAAAGGCAGAACTAGAATTTGAACTCACATCTACTACTATTGCACCACACCCCAGGGAAGTGACATACTATGAAAGTGAACTGTTACTGCAGTAGCCCCATACCTATTTCTAATAACATAGGAAAGAAACCAGAAGCTAGAACGCAATTCCCTGGGGGACCTCCATCGCTTCCCCGGTCCAAAATGCTTAGTTTAGAAAACCACCAGGTGGCAGCACTTGCGCACCTGGGTGCCGCTGGCGAGCAGTCTAGCCTGACACTGGTTCCCAGCCGGGCGCCCGGGTGGGTTCACAGGGTGCTGTGGGGTATCGGAAAGTTTCCAAGGGGACACCTCAGACCCTGCACAAACCCCGCACCGGGAGACAGCGTGCGGCGTCAGCAGCAGATCACGTCAGACTCCTTTTGCTGACATCGTATCTCTGTGAACCAGGTTTCTGGTGACCGCTGTGACCAAATGCGAGATCCACACAAAAATCAGTGTGGACCTGGAAATGCAGGTGGCAGTGTCCTATCTGCTTGAAGACCTGAGGAATTGTGCAGCGCCCAGAAGACGCACACATCCCTTTAGTAATTAATTGTAGTTACGAATAAAATTTTAAAAATTATTTTTATTAGGATACAAATACTTCTTAAGTTGTTTGAATTTAACCAAGTAATCAATAGGACTGTTGGGCATCCATTTTGGCTTAGGAGCATCAGGGAAAAAGTTCCTGTGACAGTGAGTGTGCCAGTAACTGTAAATTTTGGGCCCTCTGGTATAATAGGTAAGAGCATAAAGTTTGCTGTAGGGTAAATCTTGATCCTAACTTGGCTCTGCCCTCTATAACTTTGGACAATTTATTAAACTTTTTGAATCTCCTCACCTGGAAGTGCAAATTATATTAGTTCCTACTTCACAAGATTTTATAAGGACAAATTGAGTAAATGTACATCAAATACGTGTAGAGAGTTCTTGATAAATGTGAGCTTCAGTCGGCTGCTGACAGATGTCCACTGAAGTACAAATTCGCTAGTGCAGGAGTCCAGCCTCAGCATTTACACCTGCCACACGAAGCAACGGAGAAGGCCTTTTCAGTGGCCAGATGCCACTGAGTACTCCAGGTGAGGACAATCTGTTCCAGCACCTGAGATTTTCACAGTCCCTGTGTATTTCTGATTTTGAAACCTAATTTTGTTGACAATTGAGACTAAACTTTTAATGTCCAATCTAATGCTTTTCCAAAAAGAAACAGCTAGCTATCCATCCTAACATTGCTCTCCAAGGAAGACCTTCTGGAGGTCAAAAAAGAACAAAAAAATCAGATTTCTTATACCAAAAAATGTGCCATAATAGTTTTCTCTCCAACAGGAATAATTATTATTGATTTACAGTGTAATAGCAGCAAACAGCTTTGGTGATTGGTTAAATGTCTTCACTTCACTGGGGCCATTAATCAATCTCAGCAGCTATTTACTGCTTAGCAGACTACCATGCAATAAAGATGAGCCTGAAATCAACTCCCATGGTAGCTTTGACAGGCAGAAATTAATATTTAATGTTGCATTACAAGTGGAGTTGAGATGGGGTCTCCTTTGCTGTGCAGCTGGTCAGCTATAAGCGGTGCAGCCAGCCTTCACCTGCAGGGGCTCCTGACATGCTGTGGCTTCAGCTATTGTGGACAGTCTGACCTGGCAATGAGCCGAGTGTCCTGCCTTCCATGAATCGGATGCCCACCCACAGCATCAACATAGAAATGTGTCCTATATGCAGGTTGTCTGAATGGTGATGGTAATTTCTGCTATCACTGGAAGCTTCATGAATCAGATTATTTTTTCCGGGTGGGAAGGAGCCCACTGTATCCATATCTGATCATAGTCCAATCTAGCTGTAACAACCAAGAACGAAGTCCTTTGTTAGGGTTTGAGTCCCTCCTCTATGTTCACCTTCACTTTGCCACTGTGTCTGAAGCTGTTAATGCTACTTGATTACACGGGGCAAACCAGTGGTAGGGGTGAAACTGAGGAAGCTCAGGGAAATATGATGGGGAAGAGAAGAGGCCGTTTTCCCTTCTCTTCCTTCCTTAAGTCCTATCCCTCCCCCCAGCCTGGGAAGAAATACATACAGCCGATTTGGTTGGTTTACCCAGATGATTCGTATGATAATACAAATAACGGTCAAGAGTCATTGCATAGGCATGTGTCAGGCATTGTGACTATCCTAATAGTCATTTCAATGAGATTATTAGTTACGTTTTACAGAGGGAGAAACTCAAGCTCAGAGATGTTTGGTAACTTGCTAAAGATCACACAGTGAGCCAGGGTTTGTTCAGAATCGGGAGTTTGATGGAGCCTGGGTTCTAAATTTCTAGACTCTCAAAGGACGTATCAAGGGCACCTGCCTAAATGCTTTTCGGGAAATGATCTGCAGGTCACCTGTCACTCTTCTTACCTTCACATTAGTAAACAAGTCAGAGTGTTACCTTAGGGTGTCAAAGCTTATCCCCATGGCTCCGTTCAAATACCAGCTGTGAAGCCTTCAACAGGAGAGGACGATGGAGGGAACAGTCTCTCTGAGCATCAGTGGAAATACTTGTACTATTAACCATGGTGAATACTGAAGTGTGAAATTATAGTGTTTCTTCAATTACAGCAATACCTCTGAAATATCGTATCCCACAGGAAGTTAAAGATTTAAAAATTACCGATGAAATATAAACTCCAGGTGTCTTTCCTCCTCTCAGATTTTATTTGATGTTAACTACTTCGCACTTTGCATGGTGAGTCAGAGTTGAGTCATTTAAATGCAATTTAATTATAGATGAGTCTTCAGAATGGGCCCCAGTATTGTCTGCCTTATCATTTGATCAAGCTATTAAGATTCTGACCGTGGGAATATTAATACAGGAGAAAATGTTGAATATCGGTTTCAAGTTAGACATAAATGACTGGTGGAAAAAAACCACTAAGTTTTGGGGATGGCCTTTGAATATCTTCTACTTGGTCTATACCATATGTCCCTACAGGATTAAAGACATCAGTTTGGCCAAATGTCATTGCTTTAGGATTGTTATCTAACTGTTCCCACAGTGGGTAGCAAGGATAGGGAAACTATGTCTTCCCTGGATCCTGGACCAAAAACATTCAGTGTCGTCCAGCATTCATGTTAATAGAATGTCCTCTCTTTGTGTTCTTAAGATGCCTGCCTTGTTTTATCAATTAGACTGTCAGTCTCTCCTTTTTTCTTTATTTTTCATATGGACCTGAATCAACCTTTCTTCATCTATAGGCCATAACACATAAACTATACACCCTCATGCGCCAACACATCAATTATTAGGTTGCCCTGGCTGAACTGATTCTCTTCTTTGATAAATCTGAAGATTTGTTACACCAATGCTCTTACTTTACAGAGAGGCAGGAAGCAATCTTGGTGATTCCTGCCAAGCTGCTGTGAGGACAGGGATGCTTCAGTAACATAAAGTGATTTCCCCTCTTCTTGTTTCAGGTTCAATGGATCCAAATGACTTCCTGAGGGAGGCACAGATAATGAAGAGCCTAAGACATCCAAAGCTTATCCAGCTTTATGCTGTTTGCACTTTAGAAGATCCAATTTATATTATTACAGAGTTGATGAGACATGGAAGTCTGCTAGAATATCTCCAAAGTAAGCTAAAGACTTAATAAAAGGGGAAAAAAAGTGTAATTTAGTTTTAGCAACTCCTATAAATGTCAATATAGCAAGCTTTCTATAACCCAAAGGATATTTACTATGTGTACATCCGTGAGAATGAATGTCTTCACATTGAATTGCTTAACTATTCTTTAATAGGATATATACTATGTACTCAAAGGAAGGAAAAATATTTATGTAGTGGGAGAACAAATTGTTCACCATAGACACATTGAAGTACTTAAATGTAATGTGGAAAATTGAAGAATAGATGTTTTGCATGATGCTTTGTTTCCTACAATAACTAATTGAACATGATCAGTCATGGACCAAGATTTTCTATGGCCCAGAATTAGGGGACATAAAATACTTGGGGAAAAAGAGAGGGAGAAGCACCCTCCTTTTTTTTCTTTGCCAATGTTTGACTACATTGTACTTGTTGGTGTTTAAAATATTTCCACTGTTAGGCAACATTAGAATCTTTGTACTATAAAGCAGAAATATACTATTGCTTTATTTCTACATCTGCTTCCTGTAGTCAGGGAAGACTTAAGGACATTGTAAAATTTGGATGTTTATTATTGAACAGTTTCATAAGCAACAATATAAGAAGCCTTAAAATGAGATGTTCAAAGTAGCTGAGATCAAGTACTGAGAGAATACAGTTGACTTTTGAACAATGTGGGGTTACAGGTGTTGACCCCCCTTGCAGTTGAAAATCTGTGTATAATTTTTGGCCCCCCCAAAATTAACTATTACAGTTGTCCCTTGGTATCCATAGGAGTTTGGTTCCAGGACCCCCCACAGATATCAAAATTCACAGATGCTTAAGTCTCCCATATAAAATGGTGTAGATCAATGCATCCAGTCAGCGCTCTGCATCTGTGGACTCCCAACTGCAGATCAAAAACAGTACTGGTATTTATTGAAAAAAAATCCTGTGGACCTGTGCAGCTCAACCCGCATTGTTCAAGGGTTGACTGTAATTCATGCTGAAAAAGAAAAAGATTTTTCTATACTTTTTGAAATGTCAGAGTGGGGTTGTGCTAATGTATAAAGAGGTAAAGGGAGATGAGAACAATGTAATGAAGATATCAGGACGATACAAGTATTCTCTTATTTCAGGGTGACTTGTGAAGCTGGTAATAGCAAATTGCAAAACTAGATTAGAAGATCCAAGAACATAAAGCCTGTTAAATTCTGTTAAAAGCAGAAATATACCTAGCTCCCTTGCATAAATATATAAAATTTAACAGCATCAGAATATGTTGCCCACTATAAAAAGACTAACCTCAACCAATGACTCTTTATCTTTATTCCCAGGAACAAAAGTACAAGAGCCATCTTGGGTCATTGCTAACAACAATGCTTTGTCAGGGTCACTTACAACATTCACCATGGTAAATCTAATAGTCGATTTTGAATCCTCAGACTGATCAGCAGTGTTTTATTCGATGGACACTGTCTCCTTCTGGAAACACTTCATTCTCATTTGGCTTCCAGGACACTTCACTCAGTGGCTGTTTCTCCTGTTTCTTGTTTGTTCTCCTCAATTTGTGGGATTTCACTCACATCTTAGACCTCTTTATATTTTGGAATTTTCCAGGACTCTTGCAATATCAGTAATTCCCTTGCTAATCTCAACAGGTTGTGTTGTTTAGTAACATTTAAGTATGAACAATTCCCCAATATATATCCCTCCATTATTTCAGTATCATATATCCAACTGCCTTTTAACGTCTTTACTTAAATGTGTCAGTCTGGATAATGTAGGCATGATGCGGCAAGGAGCAGCCTTCAAGTCCCAGAGACTTAACAAGTGTTTATTTTGCTCATGATACACATGCAAAATAGATTGATTGGTGCCTCAGGTCTTTTTATCACCTTGGCAGGGGCAGGGGATGTGACTAACTTTATTCTGGCTCTTAAAGCTTCTGACCCTAAGTGACAGAGGAGACTTTGTGTTATCTTCATTTGGTCTAACCAAGCCTAATGGAATAGGGGAGTATGATTATCTAAAGTGCTTAAAAGGAGACAAAAATAAATGTATGTGAACAGCCCGACTACATATGTCTATTAGACATTTTAAAACAACATGTCCCAAACTGATCTTCTTGCATTATTTCCAGTCATCTGCTACTATTGTGTTTTTTTCATTCTTTGATAATGTCAACAATTGGGCTTAATATGCAGGAGTCATTTAATTCTCACATCCCATGTCTAATCAAACAGAAAATCCTACTGTCTTGCTTTCCAAACACATCCAGAATATTACCACTTCTCAACACTCTCAGTCTGGTCCAAGTCATCATCAGCTTTCTCCTGGATTCTGCAGTAGCTTCCTAGTTGGTCTCACTCTTTCGATTCTTGTTCCCTTCATTCTCTTCTCAATACAGTAGCTGGAGAAATCCTGTTAAAATGTAAATCAGATCATGTTCCCCCTCAGTTTAAAACCTTCAATGACTCCTGCTGGTTCTTCTTTCTGTATAACCCAGAGTACTTTGTGACCTAGCTCTTCAGTACCTCTCTGACCACATTTCCCACAATGGGCCCCTTGTCGCTCTGTGTCAGCTGCACTGCCCATCTTTGCTAGTCTCCATATCTTCCAGATGTGCTTTCCTTCAGACACTTGCTGTGTTTTAGCTCTGAAGTTGTTTCCTGTTACTGAGCCACATAGTGCACTTCCTTCCTTCCTGAAATACCCTCAGACATTCTCACGATGGTGAGTCCTTCACTGACCACCCTCTAAATTCTAAAATTTAATCTCCCTCTATTGACTCTTCATGTTCCTCTTTCCTGCTTTTTGTTTTTTCTTTTAGCTGTTAATAATCTTATACTACATGTCATTTGTGTAACTCATTTTTACTATCTTCTGAAGTACAACTCCATGAGGGCAGAAACTTTTCTTTGTTTCAGTGCTAGAACAGTGCTTGGCACATAGGTGGTGTGCACTAATGATGTAGTGACTGACTGACTGACTAAATTAATGGATAGATTATGTTGGGGCTATTCTGAACCTAACAAGGTTGACTCGGGTCAAGTGTGCTTTCAAACTCTTGGTATCAGCTTAAAAGGAGTCATTTATTGCCCTGCACACTCCTTTGGCATTGAGGGTTTCTGTGGCTTGTTGATGTGGTTTACTCGCAGCTAAGCATAAACCCTATCATATTTTGGGTTGGGATATGAGGGTCAAGTTTACTAAGGATGCCATTTGCCAGGATACTTAGCAGCAAGTAGGAGTAGTGAAGATATGCTCCTTATAGACAACCCCTTCCCAATCAAGAGGGCTTAAATTCAACAAAGTGATCTTACAATGAATTTGCCACTTTTAAAGAGCTTATAATGATAAAGAGTAAGCTGAAAGACTCTTGATTAATGGAACGTAATTGAAAGTATTTTCTTGTTGCAGTTTTAAATTGTCACAGGTCTGTGAACCTTTATATCAGTTTTGACATCCAGCCCTTTTATTTGAAGTGTGCACTGAGTTAGGCAGCTCCTAGGCCACTGTATTTTTTCAAGGTAGGAAATTTGTTATTACTCAGTTTCCTTCTGTATTGTGCCTGTCAGTGAAAACCTTTTTATGTCCACTGTAATAAGATTAGATGTCATATTTGATAGTTGAAATAACATACATATTTTTCTATAGAACCATCTTTATAATCCCTAAGCTTGGCTGAATATTTTTTTGCAATAGATTTCTCCAAAATGGGAGAGGCTTGTCAAAAGACTTCAGCATTGAGAGTAATTGATGCAGTTATTTCTTACTGAAATTTTAAAGAGAATAAATATCTGCTTTTTTTCCCAGTTTAGTTGGGCTTGTTTTCTTTCCAATAAATACTTACAGATCTAACATATGTTAGAATATTCTCTCTTTTTAAAAATTTAAATCAAATCCTAGCATGTGGCTCATCATTGTCATTGACAGTTCATGTAAGTGGACTGAAGGAGACAGGACTGTTTTCACCGAGATACCCTTTAACTAAATACAAGTATATAACTTGTTGCTCTTTGTGTGAATAGAAGTTTCTCCATAGCCCCTGATTTTAGGGTGCTCAGGAGTGATGTCACCATGTCCTCAGCTCCCATCAATCCTCAACCCCTTATACCAGTGAAACAGCTTTTCCTGCCACCAGGGTCACCAATGATTCCCTAGTTATTGTATTTAGCAAATGATGGTTGGTCTTTATCTTGCTGGACTTATTTGTTGAATTTGATAATGGTGGCGACTTTCTTTTTCTCACCCTAAATGTTGGTGTTTCTCATGATTCTGTTGCTTCCTAACAATTTCATCCACGTTCAACGTTTCACTCGCACTGATAAACTGTGACTGCTAAATCACAGCTCTAGCTGCATGCTCTCCCCAGAACTCCTGACTGATATGCTTATTTTCTGTTAGGCATTTACATTTGGGTAACCCACATGCATCTCTAGCTTAACAAATGCTAACCAGTTTCATTTTGACTAGGCAGCACTAACAAGGACAGGTAGGGTTCACTGAGTTCTTTCTAGGTGACCAGGCACTATTTTTAAGTGCTTTACATGTATTAACTCATTTTAATTCTCATTTTAACAACAGTTATCGCTATGTAGATGAGGAAATGAGGCATTGGTGTGTTAAGCAGCTTACCCAGGGTCATGAAAGAAATGTGAGGCAGAGCCTCAATCCAAATTCTGACACTCTAGCTTCACACCCTGCACTATAGTTGCCTCTCAAGTCAGGAGTTATGGCTAAGACCTTGGACCATGTGTCCAACACATTTTTTGCAATACTTGGCTTATTCAGTCAGGGATAATGATGGTGTAGATTTACATGAGACTGTAAATTATTCAGAAAGCTGAACACATCTACTAAGAATGTGGCAGCTGAACACTATCCAGGGATGGCTGGCCCCGTTTCACAAAGTCATCACAAAATAGCACTAACCTCTCTACTGATGATCAAACTGACCTTACTACATGAATTCCCTAAACTTAGTTGTACAGATCTTGAGCAGTAGGAGAAACTATGCCTATTAAAGGGATGTTCAAAACAGGCTAAAAAAGGGAAATGAAAAAAATGTACCAAGATGAATGGATTACATGTGTAATACACACATTTTATAACTACTGACAGGCCCTTCGTTTCTGTTAGCTAGTTTTTGAGAACAGTTTAATGGATGAATGAGAGCTTCTCATCAGCTTAGCCATGCAAATTAGCATTGCTTTATAGGTTCAAAGACTAAAAGAAACTATGCAGTGTTTGAAAGAAATCCTGAGGTGACTAAGTAACAGTTTCCATGAAGAGATGAGACAGTGATGTGAGGTATGGAAAATGACAATACCTGGGCTCTTTCAGATATTTATAGCTGTTTGGATCATGTGATACTATTACTTCTTTCTCTATGTAACACTCATCCAGGGGAGAGCAGACTGCAGACTGCAGCCTGAGATTATATTTGGGCTTTGAAAATTATTGTCTTATTAACCCTTTACAGGATATAAAAACTTTTGTGTGGTTATATATTTTTTGCTCAACAGATCAGTGCTATGGCACTTAACCCTACTAATAGCTCATTTCATCAAGATTCTCAGAATTCACTTCAATAGTTTAAATGTTTCACAAAGTAAATCTTTTGTTTTCTCTTATTGCCTAGATGATGCTGGATCAAAAATCCATCTGACTCAGCAGGTAGACATGGCGGCCCAGGTTGCCTCTGGAATGGCCTATCTGGAGTCTCAGAACTACATCCATAGAGATCTGGCTGCCAGAAATGTCCTTGTTGGTGAACATAATATCTACAAAGTAGCAGATTTTGGACTTGCAAGAGTTTTTAAGGTGGATTTGATTTTGCTTAATTTGTTTTTTGTAATGGGTCAAAATCCTAACAGACCAGTAGACTAACAGATTTACTGTTACTCTTTAAAACAATGCTTCTCCAAGTTCTGTGGCCCACAGAACACTGTAGTAGAAGGGTCTACCTCCTATTTCTAATTCTCCACCAAGGGGAAGGAAATAGAGAGAAAATGATGAGCAACCACATGGGAGAGTATATAGTTAGGTTTGTAGTTGAATTAATGATCTGTTGGTCAGTACCAGCAACCTCTATTTGTCTGCCTCTATTTCCCTTGTTAAGAGCAGTACACTTTGTACAGTTACCTAACCCACCTTTGCTCACTTTCTGCCAGAGTTCATGCTGCCAGAGATTTTCAGCAATCATGAGCTTTTTAATTCTTGCCATCCCACTCCCCGTTTTTTTATATTAGGCCAAAAGACATTGATATAGGAGATATAATATAGATGTTTTTCTGTGAATTTAATTTTTAATTTCTACACTGTGCCCTAAAATTATGGGTATGGGGCATGAAACATAATAAATAAATGATTCTCTTTTGGTCTTCATGAACATCATTTCTTTTTGTAAATTAATTAGAACCCCAGTAAGTTGATATATTAATTTAAATCACTTGGATCCTACTTTTCCATGTTAGAAAGTGATTACATGGTAATTATCAAAGTCAATTGCTTTTCAATACCAGCAGTAAATCAGAAAACAGACAGGCTTTGCTTTCATTTTTATTTATTTTTATTTACCAAATAAAAGCTAGTATCATCACACACAAATTCTCCCATATGCAGTAGAATGCTCCTTTCAGTGCTATTTTTAGCATACAGTAGCCTCTCAAGTAATATTTTATTAATAACTTCTCATGGATTTTTTAGTATTGTATCCCAGCTTTGGAATTTGCTACAGTAGTTATCAGTTGAACTATGTTCCTTTTGAATCTTTTTCTTCTAAATTTTAATATGAAGCAGGTTATAGATGAATGAGAGTGGAGAGTATATATACATACATACATATATATATATATATGTATGTATACACGTACATATACGCACATACACACACATATACGCATCACTTTAACTTGGCTTGATTTCCTAATGCATTAACAGGTAGATAATGAAGACATTTATGAACTTAAACACGAAGTAAAGCTGCCAGTAAAGTGGACTGCACCTGAAGCCATTCGTACTAAGAAATTCAGCATTAAATCCGATGTGTGGTCATTTGGAGTCCTTCTTTATGAAATCATTACTTATGGCAAAATGCCTTATAGTGGTGAGTAATTAATTCTGAAGTGGGCCCTTCTGCCGCAGTTCACTTGATTAGGTGTGACTTTAACTGCTTCATCCCGACTCAGAGGGCAGAGTTATGAGGATGACCACAGCCCGCGCCTTTGGGAGCATCAGAGATAAAATAGGATGACGATGATGATGATTTACATTGGGATGGCAAGAATTAAAAAGCTCGTTACATTAACGATGATGATGATTTACATGATTGCCTCCTTCCCCTTTGCTCTTCGATTGCAGCCTTGTAGACATTGCTTGCTACGGGAATTAGTTTAATCTCTGCAGCCTGGGGAGGGGATGGTAGACCTCATAGCTTTGCCAAGGAAATCAGTTTGCTTTGTAATCTAGAGTATATGTGTCGATGAATTTAATAATCTTTAGCTTGCTTTTGTGTATTTTTTAGGCATGACAGGTGCTCAAGTAATCCAGAAGCTGAGTCAAAACTACAGACTCCCGCAGCCACCGAACTGCCCGCCGCAGTTCTACAGCATCATGCTCCAGTGCTGGAGCGCAGAGCCGAGGGAACGGCCGACGTTCGAGGCCCTGTGCTGTGAACTCGAGGACTATTTTGAAACAGACTCTTCGTATTCAGATGCCAACAACTGGGTCAAATGAACAGCGAAGGAGAGAATGGAATCATGAAGCAGAAATGAAGTTCAATAATCGGCCCAGAGACACAGCCTTATTAACCAGCTGCGAAATGAGTTTATCTTGACAAATTTAAGTGATAGGGTCAATCTGGCCACGTATTATGAAAAAATTATGTGCACATTTTATTGACTGGGTAACACTTCAGGACAGTCTAAGGTGGCCTATCATTTTCTCACTGCCTGGCAAAATCAAACACACTGAACAAAGTGATTTTTCTTTTTAAAAGATACTTACATTTCTATTTATTATTTGAAGTGCTGATCAAGAGGATCAACAAATGATAGGCAATTTTTGCTCAGTGGCTGTTGTAGCATTTTCCTGTTTACTGGTTAAAGTGGTTACTCATTACTCCTCGGATCGCTGAATCCCATCAGGCCGTTATTATGAAGGAATGTGATTGCTTTGCTGCACAGCAGGACCTGTGCTTTGAGATTTTTTTTCTTCTCTTTTAAAATATCCTGCAACTACAATGATGCTAAAGCCATGTTAAATGACTTGATTGTACTTGGAGTAATTGCACATATTTTTTCTTGTATGTAAAAAAATGAGGCAGCTGTTGAGAAAAAGAATTAAAATTTCTCTCATTTTGTAGAAGGAAATGATGGAATTTTCTATACCTCAGTCTGTGTCATCTGAGAATCATCTATGTTAGTTTTAATCTCTTAATGTTAAGAATCATATTGCAAAGCTGATGAGTTCTTATCTATGGAAATATGCAAGAAACATCTAGTAGCCTGCAAGACCTGAGAAGTAAGTATCAAAATAGTTTAGGAAAACAAGAGGAGAGCAGTAGGGTTGCTGTGGCCTACGATTTCTGAATAACTAAAAAAAATGTACCTTTGGCATATAGGCCGGAATTTAAAATTGACTACAAAACAGGTCAAGCTCTGTTTCAGATCCTGAGGCTGGGAATAATGCCTGATCTTGGTTATGAAACTGTGGTTTTTGTCTGGTAGGATAAGAGGGTATTTTTACTCGTCTTAAATGTGCATTAACCTTGGTAAACATATTACTATCTCCTTAAACAATGGTTGTATCGAATTTTGTGCCCCATTAGATGGTAAGGGAGAGTTCTCAAAGGTAGTTACAAAATCAAATACAGATTCAAAGATCTTCTGATATAAAGATATATGAACGAAACATGCCACAGAAAACCAGAAGTATAGTCTGTCATCTTTTTTTAAAGGGGAAGAACAATATATCTAAACAGTTACAGAAATCCCAACTCAAAGTGGATTAAACACTAAGTAAACTTGTAAACTTTCTAACTGAAAGACAGGAGTAGGGGAGTGCTCTAGGCAGAATGCAATTAGCAGTTCAATGATGTCAACTAAAACCCAAGTCCTTGCAGATCCTTCCCTCTGCCACCAGCATTGTCCTCATTCTTATGGTCACTGGTGGCTGCCAGTAGCAACTGGGGCTCCCTGTTCTCTTCTCATTTGGTAAGAGAAATGGGAAACTGCCATATCTGCATTTGCATCGCGCATAAAAAGCATTCTTTTTTTGTCCAGACAAACTGAGGTCATATGCCCAGCCCTGGACCAATAATAGGCTTAATGTGAATGTTAAGTGCCAATTGGCTTAGAATAAATTTTGTCACTGAAGCGGGAAGTGTGGTCATCTTTCCTGGAGAAAAGTTGGGAGGTTGGCTTATCTGAATAAAATTAGAGAAGATTAGATGCTGGATAGACATTGATTAAAGACAAAATCCCCTGAGATAAAGTAGCTGTACTATATATAGTAAGTAGATGTGTATACATTCACTCAAATTTTTCTGAAACTAAAATAGATCATGGGGAGCTAAGGATTGTAGAGCCCCTTAATTCCTTTATGAACAGGAAATATTTGTAAAATAAGGTAAACACTGATCTAATCACTTGACTATGTATAGAACGAGTTCAGTTATTTAAAGCCATCAAGTCTAATTGTGAAAATTCAAATACTATGTAACTTGCCTTTTTGTAGCAGTTAATAATAAGAATAATTTCTTTAGTAAGATCTGATTTTTGAAATGTATAAAGATGATCCTTTCTTGTTTTAATACTACCTGAAACCCATTTAACTTTCTACTTTTGATCTTAGAGATGTTTATGTTCAAGGTTCTGTCCAAGCAATCTATTATTCTTGTTTTTACCTGATTGATCATGGAGAAAATAATGGATTCAGTTATAAGAAGCAGTAATAGATTTTTTAAAAACTGACATAAATTTCTTTTTCTGTATAGAATAAAAGGATCAGGAACAGATAAGTTGAATTTTCCTACAATGAGCCAGCTCTTGTTAAATTTACCACCCATAAATTGTAGCAAAGCACTTTCTATGTAATGTTTTATTTATGTGATTCAGTTATTTGGAGGTGATGGTGAGGGATGTGAGTACATGATTTCATATGGTATTTCAAATCTCTTTTGACAAAAACCTAAGAATTTTTGTAATAGGAAAAATTCCAAATTCCATTAAGCCTCTTTTAAGAAGTTTAAGAAGGAAATAGGTTTATCTTACCTAAGGTCAAAAGAGGCACAGAGGGGACTCCTAATAGGTGTGGAACCTGAATATTGTGTCATTAAAGAAAAAGGGAAAGTCAGAGTGAACAGCAATCTCCAAACTGGGTTGTGAGAATGGGGGTAATTAAAGAACACAAAAGAACATGCCGTGTGGGAAATATCAGGCTTGCCCATTCACGATGTCTACCTACAACATGTGTCTGCATGGTGACCACATGAACTGTCTGAATCATAAAGGGCCCAAACTCTTTTGATTTTCTGATGGCCCAAAGGGAACCATTGCCCTTGGAAAGATGCCATTCTGTCACCGAGCCGGAGGTTCCTGGAAGAAGCAGGGCCCAGATGGTGATCCATGGCTTTGCCAAGCATATGCTCTACCTGCAATAATGTTTTCTATGGTCTAGTTGAACATATGGTTTCTAGACCAGACAGCCTGGTGGGTAATGTGCATGTGGTGACTTTTCAGGGCTCTTTGAAAATATATGTTATGTGAACCAGAATGGTGGTAATTTGAGTACTTATTTAAATTGTGTCATTGTGTTCTTCCATTGAGGAAAGCCAGTCTTTAAAAAATTAGATGAGGTTTGTATACTTGGGTATGGGAATTTCCTGTGGGCTCATCTGGAAATATTCGGTTCTTATATTTCCCAGCATCATTACAGAGTAGTTTTGGTCTAAAATCTTCAACATGATTGAAATTAAAAAAAATAAAATTTCCAACATGATTAAAAAATTCACTGTCATAGGACAATAAACAAACCTGGGAAGTCTGTGGAGAATACTTACAAATCTTTTAAATACATGATCCCAACAATATTTCAGTTTTCACAGTGCCATTTTTTATCTCCCTATATTGTCCCATTAAACTTCATATTTTTTCTTTCTTCTATTAAGGAAGTGATGGTAAATCTTTTAAATTATTTAATACATTTAGAAATACACTAAAGAATAAAAATAGTATGCAAACCCTGAATTTCAGAATCTTTGACAAGCTTAGCTTCAATCTGTGTGCAGATGGTACTATTTAAACAGGAATTATAAAGTTAAGTTATAAGGAAAGAGACACCCAATTATTTCCCTTTACTCTTATTGCTTGGGTTTATCCATTGGTCATCTAGAGAAATAGACTTCAGTGTAACATCCATTATCCTTATGGAAAATAATCTGCTCTTTCAGAAAATGGCAGCAAACACCAAACATGCCTTAAGTATCTAGTATGTGTATTGTTATGCAGGGCACTCAAGTCATACAACATAATAACCATGAAATCATATATTAGGGAAAAATGGTTAAAAGCAACTAGAATTGATTGGTTTAGAAGAAGCTAAACATTTTCTAGTAATGATTTTCTGAAATTTTAAAATAGGGGGTTTGTGAAACATGAAGTAGCTTGTTATTAACCAAATTACATTTAATTTTTATGGTCCAGACATTTTTCAGAGTAAATGATATCATAGCTTTTAATCGTTTTAAAAAATCTACATTTAATTATAAATTTAGAAAGTGAGAAACAAAGCCAATTAGTAAGATTAGTGTACTTTGAAGGTACCACAGTGAGATTTTTGTCTCCAAAATATGTGTATTTCTATATTGCACCCTTTAATAATATTTATTGTATTACCATATATGTTAATTGTATAATTTCATGTGAATATGTGTTATATATGATTAATTATATGTAGCAAATATATATATATAGCAAAAAAGATAAGACAGATTCTTTGACTTGTGCCACATATTATAATGCTATTATTTACTGGTTCAAATGCAACTATTTAATTTTCAAAATTTTTTCTATTTCTAGGCTCTTTAAAATATTCAGGAAAAGGCTTTTCTTAAATATTTTTACCCTAAGTGTTCTATCTTTATTCACATGGGATTTGTTCACTATGCTAGTTATCCCAAACTGATTTTTTAAAAATTTATCTTTATTTTAAAAAATATTACAGATGTCCTCTTTTATTCCCATTGACCCCTCTCACCCTGCACCTGCCCCCTGCCCCAGGCCTTCCCCACACTATTGTCTCTGTCCATGGGTTATGCATTTATGCATATAAGTTCTTTGGTCAATCTCTCCCCACCCACCCCCACCTTCCCTCCAAGATTTTTTAAACTTGACTTTTAAAAATTAATTTCACTGTTTCAGAGGTCAGGTTGGTTGTGGACCCACGGATGACTTAAATTACTGTATTTCATAGTAGGTAAAATGTCTCCTCAGTTGACTATATTGTGAGAGTTTGCATTTGGATGATAGGGAAAGTAAGTCTGAATCCAGGGATCATGGTCTTGCTTACGCCACATATCACTACAGATCACCTGCCTCATGTCACTTTCCTCAGGGACCCAGTCTGGTGGAGAAACCACTCAGTCTTACACTGTAAGTTGCCCTGGCTGTGGGAATGAGAGCTTTAGTGGGCACATGCTAACAACTAAATCCTTGGGCCCAGAGGATACATATGTTGCTTCCACTTACAACGTATTATCTATAACCACATGGCTTCACCCAAACACAAGTGCTCAATATGCCTTCTAACCATGTAGCCAGAGGTAGGGCACCAAAAATACTGAGTAAACAGCACCAATGCTATTACACCACATTAATACATCAAGTTAATTTTAAGTGATGCTGAGTGGGGAAAGGTCATATATACTCAGTTATTCACCCTTTTCCTTAATTATTTTATTCAGCAAATATATATTGATTGCTTAGGAGTATCAAACATTGGGTTAGATGCTTGGATAAAATTGTGAACGAGAGAAATAGACCCTGCTTCCTCCAAGTTTGCAGTCTTTCAAGGGAGGCAGATTGGGGCGTAAACCCGTCTCAGCTCATACACCTATAAGCACAATCTTACCTTCTCGTTTTCTCCCTAAGAATTAACTTATTGTCTGCATGCTGCTACTCATTCTCTCCTTGCTCTTTAATAGCAGAATCTATTTTACTGAAGCCCAGATAAAAGATTACGTTTCTTAGGCTCTTTTGTTGCTAGGGGTTACCAAAGAGATGTAAGAGAAAGTTATTTGGCAGGCCTTCCAGGAAGACTCCATAAAAGGCAGACAGAGAACTGGCATGGGCCCTTTCTTGTC